ATAGATCAGATCGACTAACCTAAAATTCGTACTGATATCATCTCTAGATAGTCTCATTTAATATGATCAACATCTCGAAATGATTCTGTACATAAATTTATCTCATAAAAGCAGCAAAGTAAATAGCTTGGCTCGGTGAGTGATCGATCTGAAAGCCGTACTAGTATGGGGTCAAATCACAGAGGTGTTTCGAGTTGACGAGTGATGTCAGAATCCCGTTACACCGGGTATCCACATTCCCACAACACGAAAACTAATAGGATATTTAACTGAAGCGTATTCACTTGTATCGAATGCTTACCAGTTCAAGAAATAATCACTTCATCTCTTCTAGTACCACAATACATCTCGCACTACAAAAAAAATCGCTTCTCTTCGGGGTACTATCCTAAAGGCAATGACATTACTCATCTAAAACAACAAACTGCATATTCTAAAAGTTGAGGAATTTTAGTAGTTTTGGTGTATTACTCCAAGTGTAATGACGTCGTTACACCAAATCCACTCAAATTTCTCAAGCTTAAAGAGGTATAGTTTGCGTATGGGTAATGAAGTCATTACTCTTCTTCGTTAGTAGTGTGGTATAAAACTGAATTCGTTTGATTACTCTGTTGGATATCCTGACGTTTAGTTGTCGATACCCAGCGTAATGGTATTATGACATCTATAGAGTCGACATGCATCCAAATTCAATAACAGAATTTGAATATTTCAAACTTATATCATTTATTTTGAACTATATTGAAGAATCTTTGCCATGTCAACCAAATGGAGAATGATCTAATGAACTATTTAGTTGAAAAAGAGGTTGAAAGAAAACGAAAAACAAAATACCCAAAGCTCGTTGAGTTTGAACATTTTGATTGACTGTAGCACGTAGTTTAACAAGGTTGCCGAACATTCCTCTGGCATGTGATTAAATAGATACGGGTATTTTTCTTCAATTACTTAGCTCATTAAACCTATCATCAATAATTAAGTTTAATATTCATTTTTTTTCTATTTAAAGATTTGCCAAGGTGAATTACAAATAAATCAATCAGTTGTACCAGTCACAATTCGACGTCTTCTATCAAATGCATCTGTACAATCAAAGTAAATAAAAAAATTATAAATTCTCGTTATATTTTTGTGATTTAAATTAATACTTTTTTTTTCAAAATTAGAATATCATTTTTTAATGAAATCAGTCTATTAACATCACTTTGTCATCCAAATATTATTCATGCATATGGTTTTTGTTCTGAACCAACAATGTCATTATTAACTGAATCATTAGATTTAACAAGTATTGATCTTTATCAATATCTTCAACATTATAAACAAGAACAACAAATGAGTGATAGTCTTTATGCCACAGCTATTTATTTTGGTTCTCAAATAGCATCAGCATTAGCATATTTAGAATCATTACATATCTATCATCGTGATATAGCTGCCAGAAATTGTTTAGTTACACTTGATTTAACAATAAAATTACATGATTTAGCTATGTGTAATGAAGTATATACAGATGATTATATTTTAGTAACTGTTGGTAATGATATTGAAACACGTCGACCTATTCGATGGTGTGCATGGGAAACAATTTGTTTAGTAAGAAGATTTATTTTTTCATGTTTTAAAATATGATTTTTAATTTTTTAGAATCGATTTACATCAAAATCTGATGTTTTTTCATTTGGTGTATTTCTTTGGGAAATATTAACCATGGCAGAACGACCACATAGTTTATTAGATGATAATCAAGTTCTATGTAATTTACGTAATTCAAATCATTATTTATTTATACCATCATGTGGATTAGATTTAATTGATTTAATATCATCATGTTGGCATAAATGTGATTATGATCGACCAACATTTTGTCAAATAAATCATATATTATGTCAAAAACAACAACAATTAATGACAAAAAATGCAGACAATTATCAACAAACAAATTAAATTGACTATTTATTTGTAATATAAATTATATAAAATAGTAGCCCGGTTGTCTTCTTTTTTTTTTCTTTTGTGTGTGATTTTCAATGAAAGGATAAATTTCTTAGATGGAATAGTTTTTTCTCTTTTTTGTCGATGTTTAACAATAAATTTAAAAGAATAAAATATAAGTTTGTGTAAATATATATTTAAAACAAACTCATTGACTATTTTATATTAAGATCTTTAATTATAAGCATATTGATTATAAAATCACTCAGGTACGTTTCATTACTCTTGTGTAGTTCTTATCAGCAAAAACATGCTGTGCAGACTGATATTTCAAACTATGCACATTTTCGTCATCTTTCTGGTTTCTTGTGATCATTGTATAATCTGAAGTAGTATTTATCTACTGAGTATAAAAATTGTCTTTAAACGTTAAAGAATCAAATTTGCGTAACGAAAATAGCAAATTACTTTTTTCCATATATACTATAAACTATTTGTGATGGCTGTTTTGTTTTACAAAAAACATATTTTTTAGAGTATATTCGATATTTTAGTTTTAAATGACAAAAAATAAGAAACACACTCCCAAACAGTGTCCAGCACCTGCAAAACAAAATTCTCAGTTCGACCGAACATAGCACTTCAGAGAAACGGAGGCTAATTATGATTTTAGTATTTCATAGAAGACGATATCCGAAATTAAACTTTTTTTCTATCCGTTAAGATCTGCCTGTCCTGAAAATTTCAAATTTTAAGAGATCACTGATATTGTGCTGTCTGAGTCAATCTATAGTTTAATTGAAGGAAAAAACTTGATTCTATTCAAGACAATCTGAGATAAATGATATTTGATTGAGTCTTTCGAATGTCAAGATGCCATTTCTTTGACGAGTTATTTTCATTTTACTTCTATGTTATCGAATATCATAAATCAAGTACAGAATGACATTTTACAAATGTTACGCGTTTGAAAAAAAGAAACTTTTCAAAGGCAAACAGCTTCGACAGATATTAATAATTCATAAAATTTTATTATTAGAACATAAATTGACAATAATAGATCTCTTTTATATGATCATAGGCATCCATTTCAAGAGAATAGAAAATTCTATAGGCTTTCGAATACATTCAACTGTTAAAGTTAAAGCGATGCATTAATAAAACGGTAATTATTATTTTGAAGATTGATTTATGAGAACTCATTAAGTGTTATTCGACTGAAAAATAACAATATTTTATATATAGGAAGTCGTTTCAAGTTCGAATGCACTTCCTGTAAGACATACTATTGTATCTGATATGAATGCATATTAGGAAAAACATGATTTTCCAACACATTACTCTTTCATTCTCGAATGTTGATTAAAAGTAATTAAAAAAAGATCTAATTTTAGTTCTTTGGGATTTCTAAGTTATAGAATAAATAGTTCTAAGCTGATACTATTGTTTCATACAAATTAATCATCTTCAAATTTTATGAAAAATTCTCATACTCGGGAAAAATACGTGCTTCAATAACCTAAAGTTTACTCAGACTTGTGAAGTTCTAAGATTAGTATATTTAACAGTCTTGAAATAGCGCTGAAAAAATAATCTTGAAGACGATCGAACTCTAAAGAATATTATCCATTGTACGTTCTTAAAATATAAACGTTTGTTTTGTAGCAATATTGGTTCTTTACTCTTTCATAATGATTTCCGAAGAACTACTGATGAAAGAATTATTGATATAGGATATTAGTGTCTTTAATATACCAATGGTATGGATAGATTGATCACGCATACTCTCGTTTGTGAGAGAGGTTTGATTGTTCTAGAGTTGGGGAATGTTTTATTTTGCACGATATCGTTCGCTCTATCATTATGTGCAATGGAAGAAAATTTTATAACCGAGATGTAGCTACCGAAAAGCTACAGGTTCGGTTATGTACAACTCGTCAGGAAGTCATGTTTTATCTTGCAATCTCTTATGTAAATCTAGTTTTTGTGAAACTTTCGAATCATATTGGTATCCGTAGTAGAGATGATCGTTGCTATATAGGCCACAATAAGTTTCCATCATGTATTTTCTCTGCTGCTAGAAAAATATTTTATCAAAAACAATAAAGAATCTTTTTAGTTTTCCAGATTTATTACTTTTGTAACTCATCTTTTTCAGAAATGGAGCAACTCAAAAACGAAATTCTTTTATTAATTGATAGTTTATGGAGGTCACCATAACAAATTTTTCCCAAAGTTTTTCAATTCCACGTTTCATGTATTTTCTGCAATCGTTCTACAAGCAGTCAATCAAGTGACCAAGGGAGGAAGATGAAGAGTTAATTTAATAAATGTAGCTCAAAATATTTAAAAACTCATCGATAAGATTATTCATGGCAGCAGTATCCAAAATCAAGGAATACGATTATTGAAGTAAATGAGCTTATCTGAAGGATAAAATAAGAAGATTAAAGGCACAAAATGTATCTAAAATTAATGATGATTTTTATTAAAGCATAACGGAAATTTAGTAAGAAATATTTTGCATGTCACTTATGACTTGACGCTCCATGAAAGTAGTTATTTTTCCTTGTCTATTAGTTCTAACAATAGACAACTATGACTTGTTCCAAAGCCGGCTATGGGACTCGACCAGGTTTATAGCCAGATTTGGATTTCAGAGTCATTTGTATTCAGTTTTGAGTCTAAATAGAACAAAAATCTCCGTCAACCTACTTGGTGCAGTGCTTCGACTACGATTCAACTATTTTCTAAGAGGAGATAATAAATAGCTAAAATCTTGAACCTTCATTTAACAGTGAAAGAAAGTCTGGACATAGATTAGATCGGGTCCATAAAAAAGTGGATCTTACAGCTTCCTATCCTCTGATGTTCAATATCCAAGATAGATCATTTAAAACTATTTAATTAACTTTAATCACCTCTATGATAGACAATTTCGTTGAGAATATCCCGCTTTAAATTTGTAAAGATATTATTAAAACTAACGAAATTGTTAAGCATACCATTTTATTTTCAATAATATTAGTTTTATATTCTTTTTCCTTTTTCTATTCATTAAAATAATGTTTCCTTTTGATCGAGTTGGTGCTATTCATATAATTCGTATTATTATTGAAATTTTACTTATTCTCTTCTCACATATATTTGGTTCATGTCGATTTGGGATTATATTTGGTTTTAATGATATTAGTTCTTTACTATTTTCAGTTGCAATTATTCTCATGGCATCAACAGATATTTATCATCTTCTTTTATCAATTTTTACAATAGAGATATCACAACGTGGGACAATATTTCATATTTTATTTTATAGTATTATGAGTTTATTAGCTTTAATATGTTGTGTTTTTTCCATCATAGGATTTATATATTGTGTACAACATAAATATAATCGTCTATGTTCTCAATATTCATGTTCAGTTCTATGGATTGGTATTATCTTAACATTTCTATTAACTATTATATATAGTGGTTCAGCTAAATTAATTTGTTGCTTACGTGAAGGAAATATCGACTAATATCATTTGTTTGTTTTCTTTTTCTTAGCTGAAAAAAAATTTAGTTTTAGATGATTAAATATACCAGCCTTGTTAAACACGTTTCGACACAAGTTTTATTTAAAAATAAAAAGAAGCACTACTGCATGAACACTGTTGTCTCTGTGTCTATACTGATGATGGAACGGTTTGTACTGTTTCTTAGAAAGATTGACCATGCTCGGGTCAAATGATCATTTTCACCGAGAAACTAAAAAAATTTAGAAATCAGGTGTCTATTGCGTGTCTGGACAGGACTATTCAATTTCTAAGTTATGCACATTCTAGTTATAGAAGCATGATAACATAAGAGTTAGTCCAAATAAGCCACGGCCAACCTTACTCAATCGACGTCGTGAAATTTTGCTCAATTCACAATATGCTATAGAGGGAAGCATTTAAAGATTTTTGATGCAAGCCGTTTGAAAAAAATATTATTTCGTTGTCACGATATTAAAGTTTTTCTGAGAGCACCATCGTGAAAATAGCATTTTCTTTTTATGAATTTTGTCCAAAAAAGTGACCATTTTGCCGTGACCTAGTACTACTTATCAATTCATCTTGACTTAACTCATTGGAGCTCATTTTTCTACTATAAGTGCATTAGCCATTTCAAACTAAACGGATATATATTTCGTGAGATATGAACGTCACCACAATAAAAAATTGCCTTTTCCATCATTGTATTCTCAGAAAAATTTTAATATCTTGACATCGAAATAGTATTTTTTTCAAACGGCTTGTGTCGAAAATCTTTAAACTCTTCCCTCAATAGCATGTACTGAATTCAACAAGAATCTGGCCATCTCGACTGAGCAAGCTTGACCTTGACTTATATAGACTGACTCTTATATTATCATGCTTCTATAACTAGAATGTGCATAACTTAATAATTGAATAGCTCTGTCCAGACACGTAATGAACATCTAATTTCTAAAATTTGTGTAGTTTTTCGGCGGAAGTGATCATTTAATTCGAGCATGATCAATCCTTCTGAGAAACATTACAAACCGTTCAACTGAAGATTTTACTAATGATATGGTATGAAACTGTGATTCGGGATAGAGTGAATATACCTGACATGTTTTCTATAGAAAAATGTACATATCTGTAATCATCATATCAATATTATGATTATAACTTATTATTCAATGAATTTGTAGAAATTTTCGTCAATTGTAATCTATTGTGTGTCTCTATTGAATCATCCTTTTATTCAGCAGATATTAGCATAAAGTTTCTCAGCCACTTCATATAGACAGTGCATATCAGAGATGTCCACAGGGCGCATTTTTGCGCCCTGCCCTGTCCTGGTCTTTAGGGCAGGACAGGGTAGGGCTGGGCAGGGTAAATGTTCAAAAACGTTGTTTCTTTGTATAAGTCGAGTTGATTTGGTTCGGAACCATCTTAGTTACTAGTAGAACAACATGATGAAATCAGTGGCTAGCATCGATTTGCATGATCAATAAAACGTTCAGTTCTGCTAGTCGGTCCTTCAGTAGACGTCTGGAAACATTTTAAACATGAAATAAATCCAGATATACTTTCTGATTCATCATGTTCATTTAGAACAGCAAGATAACCGAAGGATCACCACCAAGATGCAGAACTTTTTGTTGACTAGTAGTTCAAAGTTCGAAATGCGTTTCTCACTCACGAAAAATCGTTTCAATCGATTGGATATAGATAATGAACTACTCGCACAGGTGGAGATATTTAAAATGATGAAATAGAAAAATCATTTTCGCCAACAAAAGCTGATGGGTGTATTGCACAATATGAATAAGATGATGTGCAGATCGTAACTTGATTGTTGCTTGATTCAGTACAACAAGAAAAAAGTGGTCGACAGTTTGAAATATGCTTCCGTTATGTCATTTATTTTTTCTTCCTTTTCGTTTGTATTATTTTCATAGGAATATGCTTTTATCATTAGGATAGGCTAGTCCTAATCACCATTTGATAACGATATCTGTGCTGTTTTTTATTCTTAAAGTTTTCATGGCAAATCAAAGCATTTGCTACAAAAGAGAGTAAAGACTATCTAATGTGTGAAAATTTCAGGGCACAAAGGTCTTAGCCTACCCTGCTCTGTGCCCTGTCTTGTTCTGTCCTGCCCTGTTTCAGGACAGGACAGGGCGGCAGGGATGGCAGGTTGCCCTGCCCTGTGGACATCTCTGGTACATAGTTATCAATCACATGATTATTAGAGTACCGCATGGATACAGCTCTTTGTACTCGTACCCATTAATTTAGTACCGGGGCCTAGATACAGGTGCGGATAATCGATCCGCAGATTGCATTGTTCTAATCATTATTACATATTTTCTTTGTCTTTTGAATGAATTAGGATACCAACGGCTACTTAATTAACTATTACCAAGAGAATGAATTTTTGAAGTATCTTCAATACTTATACATTTTGACAATGAACTGGTTATCAGTTTCATATGATAGTTCGATTCTTCTCTTATTCATTTCTTTCTTAGCATAGGCTTGATAATTGCAGTGGTATATTTTTATTTCATTTCTTTTTATTGTAATCAACTCAAAGTTCTATAAAATGATGACTTATCTTTATCAGTATAATTTTATTGTTCCTGTATTAGTTTCACTCATAATCATTTTTTAATTAATATGTCAGTGTAATAAAAGGAGATTTATTTGTATGATAAATTTTCAACAAACAAAGATTCATTTTTCTTTTTGGAATACTTTTCTTCTCTATGCTTTTGAACTAATGTACACTATTGATTTTCTTCTGTTTTCGAAGCTTAAGAGTACCGCCATGTTACTATCTCCATGTATTAGCTTTCATCGTTATAGCTATCAGGTCACGTTTGATATGAAAAAGGGCATAATCAATATGTATAAATATAGTATTTGTTTCTTAACAGAAAAAGTAGCACCAGCGAGTAGAAAAATAGATATTTTAGTAGTCTACTTAATTTTACATTGTAAGAAAGAGATCAATAAATGATGATATCGCCATCCTAGAGGAATATCATTTCTATCATGTCAAACTGTCACAAAACATGTTCCCAACTGATCCATCGTACAATTAAAGCTGTAAGACTTGTTTATATTATTTCTTCATCGATTGAAAAGTCAATGGTTATCGTATGCACACTATATCTGGATGTTGAAGATGACTAGCTCTTCTTTATCTATCAACCGAAACACCGATCAGACTGATATTAATTTGGCTCGATGGCAATTTGGAGGCAGTTCAACATGCAGTAAAAGTATCGATCACACAACGACATCCCTAAGAGAATATTCTTGAGATATGTTTCAATAATTTTTCTAGTCTCATTTTTAATACATCTCCAATTAGGATAACATACTTTGTATGATAGCTAAGGTGATATCTCGAATCAGCTTTCAAATCTCAATAGACTTAAGCCTGTTTTAAAAATTTTCACAACCTTATTTTTTAGTGAAAAAATCTATCTCTAGTCTTTCTAAGGGTTCCGTCAAAAAATGAATTTTATGGAAAACTTATTTTGGCAGTGGAAATCAATTTATAACGTTATGAAATAATAACATTAAAACTCCAAATGGCAGATGAATAAACAATAAAAGATTTACATTACGAACTGAAACCTATGTGTTTTTCTCCTGAATACTTGAAATAAATATTGGAAAGAAAAATTCATGAACTAATTTAGTCTATCATCAGAATGGATAGCTTCTAAATTACATGTACTCATGCTCTCATCTAAACCAACATATACTGGAGATACGAAGTTTCGAACCATGTTGCCTTTTTTTAACAACTGCATCGCAGTAATACTATTGTACAATCCGCTGTCGCTCACACCGACCAATTGTACATAATTCCACCTACCAGCTTATTTGTAATTAGTCACCCTCCAGTGCTTAACTTTAGGAACACACGGACTGTATAAACAGCGGTCTCCACGAAACTTCGGCTCATAAGTCGTTCTACTACAAGAAGTAGAATATTTTCCGAAAATAATTTTCAAAATTTTTCTAACTGTTGTCGTTGGTAATTTTTTTCTTTTTCTATTACGTTTTTTATGAAAATTTTTATTTTTTCTGGTCCAAATTTTCTATTTTTTAGTTTTTCTAAGTTTTGATAGTTTTGTGTTTAACACATTTTTTAATTCACAATACAAATCTGAATAAGATGAAAGCATCATCTGTATCATATCTTTTAGCAATTATGATGCAGTTACGCGCAACTCCGATTTTTTCGTCCCAGTTACGCCATATCTGCGTCCCAGTTTGACTGAAATCCAAAACATGGGGATAAATGAAAACGTGTCATGTTTTATATATTCAAGTAGACATTCTTTATATATATATATATATAATTTGAATGATGCTGAAATTCGATTCTACTACATAATTAATATTTTCAAAAATCACTTCATTTTGAAAAAACAATCAGATATATTTGTTCCATACGAGACGTAGCTAAATATTTTTCACCAATCCATTCAACCGTCTTCTTATGTATGTCTCACTTCACTACATGAAAAATGGTTCTTTTTATTTTATTGCTGTTAATATATAAAAATTTAGACTACACAAAATCTAGCATTCACTATGAGAAAAGTTTAATTCTAAACTTCAATAGACATTTCTTAAAAGAATATTGTTGAAAATAGTATGAAGAATTCTCTGCAGTCAAGAGGGGATTTTTGTGCGCATAAAACTTCTAATCAATGCATCAACTACGAGAATGACGTTCTGCAAAGATGGATCACAGTATCAGTTAGAATCCAGTAAATCGACTTGAAATAACAGGCAGCATAGCTTAATTTCCCGATCTTCTTCGATTATAATCAATGTTTAACGCATGAACTTTAATTGTATTGCACGAATAGAATCGAACAAAGTCGACCTAAATGCAGCCAATAGCAACAAGGTAAGAGTGACGCATTGTTTACATGTGGTTCGTTTCTTCTCACCTGGTTCTTTGCTCATTTTCGTATGTGATATGTCCCACGATCCTCATGACACATCGATTGAAGTTGCTTCACCTTTGGGAGCAAACCTGTCTTCCTCATGATTGCTCCCGTCGAATAGATTTTTCCCTACGTTATGTATTTTTCTACATGACTCAAAATTGTCATAAAGGAGATAACCCATTTCAACACATACTCATCAATAACGACAAGCACAAATAGTAGTATAAAAACTAGTGCTCTGTATTTATATCTCTTCACTTCTACTTGTTTTATTTCTTTGATATCAAAAGGAAAAGACTGCATAGTGCTAGTCGCTTCTCAGTCAACACATACTTGAAACGCTTGCTATTCAACACCTTTTCTTTTGTTCACCTTTTCATTTATCAACATATATATTCAACCTTATACTACATAAGATTCAATATATCCGATTCATTGCTTATGTAATCTCTCTCTCTATATATATAAATCTATTTATTAGAGTAGCCATTTTCATTTATTTTCTGTTCTTTTAGATAATAAATAAGATATTTTCGCAAGAGCAAATATGAACATGCTTTGTTCTATACTAATCTATTCTCTCCTATTTATTCATGCATTTCTCAATGTTCAAGGATACAATTACGATACAGAGTTCCAATTGAAAAACTTGGTTCTTCGAAGGCTTGCTCGCTCAACCTGTCCTAGTTCAACCCAATGTTTGTCGAAATGGGGCTACTGTGGAACAGGACCGGATTTTTGTGGTGATGGTTGTCAAGCGGGTCCATGCACAAAACCTGGTGGTACTAGTGGAGGTGGCTCCGCTTGTCCTAATCCAAGTGAATGTAAGTCGAAATGGGGCTACTGTGGAACAGGACCAGATTTTTGTGGTGATGGTTGTCAAGCGGGTCCATGCACAACACCTGGTGGTAGTGGTGGAGGCGGTTCAGTTGGTGTTATTGACAGCAGTACATTTGCCTGTGTATTCAACACGATCGATCCTACATTACGTGCTAACCGATTCAGTGGACTACAAGCAACAGGCTGGACACCGGCAAACAAAGACGAAGCTGCTGTCTTTCTTGCACATGTATGTCATGAGACAGGTGGTCTTAGAACAATGCGAGAAGATTGCGCTCCAGGTATGATTTTCTAAACTATTTAGCATGTCAAAACAGCTAAAGTGTGCTCTATGATAGGAATCTTTTTGAATATTGAACAATGTGATTCTTGAGAGCATATCATGACACTATTTTATCTATGCATAGGGACATTGATTCACTGAAAGCTATTTGTACCATAGAAAACAAAGAAGTGAAATAGGATTAAATCGATTTTTTTTCGAAATATTCAATATTTCTACTTGTAACCCTTAAGGTTAACATTCGCATGTTTATTTTATTCATTTCGATCAGAGTATACAAACAAAAAACTCTTCTCTCAAAGGAATCTATAGAGTATCTTGAATTTTATTTTAGTCGAAAGAGTGAAAATAGTTTAATTATCTTTGAGTATTGAACTAATTCAAACTAAAAAATATCATTTTTCTCTCAAATACTAGGTTGTGGTTCTCAGTATAGTGGCTCTTGGTGCAGTATATCGGGTGCGGCGGGAAAATTGTACTATGGTCGAGGTTGGTTGCAGCTCTCATGGCCATGTAATTATTACAATGCAGGTCAGTCTCTTGGTGTTGATCTTCTTGGAGATCCAGACAAGGTGGAAAATGATCCTAAGCTAGCAGTAAGCACAGCTCTCTGGTTCTACAAAGCAAATGGTATGGCTGCACCAGCTCAAAGAGGTGACTTTGCTGCTACGACTCGCATCATCAATGGTCCCCTCGAGTGTGACAATGGATCAGGTTACAGTAATCAATTGGCTCGAGTAGCAACCTACAAACGTGTCCGTCAATGTTTCAATCTTGGTGAACCTTCAATAAATCCAGTTTGCTAGACTCTCTCTCTCTTTGTTTCTTTCTATTTTAAAGACATTGTGTTGATCTAAAAAGCTTCTCAATTTAAACTAACAGTTATGTTTCTTTTGTTTTATGTGTGAGTCGTTTGTGCTAATTATTCAATTACTTTTTCTTTTTTTCTAAATACTTCTATTTTCGATCTTTTGTTTTGTATTTGTTATCAAGGTTTTTCATTTTTAGACTTTTCTTTTTTATTTATTTTTTTCTTTGATCAATATAACAAAGAATGAAGGTGAACATGCCTTCTTAAATACTATTTCTGAAAACAACACTGCATTGTTCGCTTTGGTTTTTAATTCAAAGTATTTCTGCAGAAAATTCTATGACATGAAAAGAAACCTTCTGTTTCATATGATTCTAGTTGAACAAAAATAATTGAAAACACTATTTGATGCCGTATATGAATACGTGGCTAATTTGATTTTGCTAGAAAGAACATTAAATTATAATAGTTTGAACTGATTTTTCAATGAGAATATGAATTATCTGTTGATATAGAAACAATAAGGAATTTCGAAGATCTTTACCATAATTGCAATTTCAAGTGAAACTACTGGTCATTATTGGAAAGTAATCTCAACAAAACAAAACCCATTCGAAAAGTAGATGTCATTTGAGTTTCATTGGACTGGAAAGTGCGGTGCGATATTTTCATAGTCTATTATGGAAAAAGTCGACATGTCATAAAAAAAGCGAATAATTATCTCTACGACGAACAATACAATGCTTTACCACAAAAGATATTTACAGTTCACATCAACGAATTTCTTTCCTGTCGCTCCTAGCGCAAACTCGAATTAGTTATGATTCGGTGGCTTTTCATTGATGAAAAATGCAACAGGATTTTAAAAATAGACAAGACCAATACGAGATCTATATGAATGCATATCAACTTGTCATAAACAATTATAGAATAAAGAATCTTTCGCAGCAACATCACATTTATATTATCGTATAATTGACATGAGATGTGTAATTTGAATGTGCGTATCAATGAGGCTTCATGGGCACAATATCACTTCGAAAATAATCGAAGAAAAAAACTTGTCGCATGGCTACAGCAAAAAAAGTAAAAGTTTAAATTTAGTCCGATTTCGAATTCACATACCATTTAAATTTTTGCTTTGTTGCGGTAACTATATGGAAGTCTCATCTCAATGATAAATTCGAACTCGAATAGAATTTTTTCTTTTGCTTTTGCTAAGAGGAGACTGATGAGTTTTTTGGAATTTTTCATTTATATTCGAACTCGAATTAGGCAACTACTCTGATTTTTGCATAATTCGATTCATTAGAAGTTTCTCTTTTTAATAATATAAAAAATTTATGAGTTTCCTTTAAAATTGTTTAAAAAAAAGGAGAATTTTCGTGACTCCGAAAAAAAAGTTCCAATCACAAGTATTCTGTGTATCGAAAGCGTCATTTTATACTCACTTTGACATGACGTCGAAAACGAACATCGGAATGTGTTTTTTTCAGCTCGTAGAAATCATGAGAAAATCTGACTTGGATATTATGTAGACACAAATTGTATTTAAACAATTTCTGTTTCAATGAATAGCGAAAAAACGGATAAAAGCATCATTTTCTGGCCACTTTTCTAATAATTCACGAAGGGACCCTCAGATGTATTTGAAGTTGAGAAATCGAGATTGTCTATGTTTCAAGAAATTTTCTGATCTGCTTCGTTTGTCAGGTAGTCTGATTCAGAGAAAAGAATGATTTAATGTACACTTTCCCAGTCAAAAATCCTCAGCGCAAAATTTTGAAACTGCTACTCAGTATGCATTACTCATCTCGAAAAATATTTTTGTTCGAAGTTTATTAGAAATCGTCATGCTTTCAGAATAAACATCGCTTAACCGAAATACCCTAATTTGAAAACTTTTATTTATGACCGTATTTCAGATTTGGATTTCTCATTTCGACGAGACACTATAATGTTATCAATAATTATTACCATGGAATTATGCCTAATCATGTTTTGTGATTTCATTGGAAGTTCATTACAAATACGATATATTTCGACATTTTAGAGCTCATACGTCTTTTCAAATACTTAGGACATAGCAAAAGTAAGGGTGTTGATACTTTAATATCGTAAAATAAGGTTTAAGAAGTTTCTCTCTCTGTAGTCTGATGGAGAAAAAAATTCTCTTTTTTTCTATGCTATTTGATCATACTTCAACTTATATCATAATAATAAAATTTCAATAAGATCTGTTTTTCTCTCATATGTGACGGTTATACTAATGCCTACTCAGTGAATATTTTTTGAATAACTTTTGATAAAAATACGATAGAGAGTTGCGGTTTTCACCGTTCGAAAGAGGACATGAAGATGCATCGAATTTAGTTATTGATTTGTAGACATGACTTTTTAAAGGTTTTTAATCGACTTCTTTGAAAACAAGCCTACTCTATAAAGTGTTTACAGCAAATTTTCCATTGTCAGGCGTGCATTGAAACTGCCCATGAAAGACCTACCAAACTGAAGAAGTTTCAGATATTTTGAATGAATCATTGAGGAGTTATAGGTGTTCTAGTCGAAGCTCGAAGTAATTTTTCTAACAATTTCTGTCATCATCATCATCATCATCATGTCCCATAGGCTTAGCGCCCGTTGGGGCCAACCATTTTTACGGGATCAGATTTTTCCACGCCTGTCGGTCTTGTGCGAGGTGGAACAGCTCTTGTCCACTGCGTTGACACCACTCTGTTATGTCATCCAGCCATTCTCTGCATGGACGCCCCCGGCGAGATTTTCCTTCCATGTTCGAAAATATTATGTGTTTGATTAANTGCTGTAGAGTGCATTAAATAGGAAACTTCATTGGCTTTCAGAATCACTATTTGGATTTGAGCTAGCTATTTAGCATCGTAGAAAAAAATCAAAAATAAAGTGTTCTTATATTTTTGTCCAATACTGTATATCTGCATTCATCACTGATTTTTTTTCAATTCAGATAGCTATGAGCTCTTTTTCGTCTTGTATATGGTGATACCTAAATTTATGCTAATTACTTACCTTACTCTCTTACGTGAGTATACTTTCACTGATGATGAATAGTAAATTCAGAGTAAGATTTAAATGTTATTTTTTGTATTGTAACTAGACTGAGTGAATTATTGCCATCACAAAAATATAGATGGTAGGATTATTAAATATTTTTCAATCATCAGCATAATTTTTCGGGTATGTGTAAGTCTAATGATTGTTTTTTTTATTCATATGTTCTCTATTGACTTGTTTTTAAAAATATTTCAAACATTTTTAAAATTAAAATTTTCAAAAACCACTGCTGCCGATTAAAAGCATTCGCTTATGCCTCTAATCATAATCGACTTTTTTTAATTCAAGCTTGCTCAAGACAATTAAAATTACTTGTACTTTTAAAAAAACGATATGAATCAATTATATTTTATGTTAAATCTCTTTTATTTCTTGCTTTATCTCGCTATTTTTTTTGCTAACAAATCACAAAACATAGCCTAAAGATAAATAACTAAAATTACGCCTGATATAAACACTGTGTAGACAACAAAAATAGAAAGAGAAAAAAACACGTAAATTTTTTTCTTGATCTAAAACAATAATTTTGCTTGTATAAGAATAGAACACAAATAAAATATTCGAAGTTTCAAAATAGAAAATGGAAGATTTTCTAAATAAAAACTTTGCACTTAGTATACAAAGTTCTTAAAATTTGCAAAGATAATTTTAATTAGATGTTGCTTCATCATGCACAACAGATTTTTTATATAATAAGTCATCAGCAAGACAAGCAACCATAGCAGCACCTTTACCACTGCCTAAAAGAATTTCATACATAGTTTTTTTTTTTTATAAAGAAATTATTTGAAAACACTTACCGTCATCAGATAAAGTTAGTTTGAACTGAAAGAAAAACATAAATTATATTTATTTATAAAGAATAAAAAAATTATTTTTGACATTAAGGCACAATATCTACATATATATGTGTATTTGTTACAGAGGCGTTTAAAATTATCCTGAATTTTAATTTCTTCTGTAGCATATACATCGATGTAATGGAACATAATAACAACAAACTTATAAAACAGTGACCTAACATAATCTTCTTATACTATAATCAATTATTTCCACTGAAATGAACGATATTCAATTTTGCAACTGTCATTGGAAACACTACTAATAAGACTCTCATCAATTAATAGTTTTAACAGCAAACAAATTTTTTTTTCAGATCAACTTAAAATTAGACCAATGTCAAATGAACTATGTCTTTCGTTCTTAAAACAGAACACATTCATAGAACTGGATGCTGTCATATATGTTTGCTCAAGGTTTTTAACTTATCAAAATGTTAATAAATTCTAAATAGAAAAATAATATCTTACCTGAACAGATTTATTAATCAATGTTTCCATACATCTCTCCATATTATGTTTAAAACGTGGATGATATCGATAAAGTGATCCATCTACACCAATAGTAATATAGGATCTACCAATTCGATTGATCAATACAGCCAAACCTTGAAATTTTTTATTTTCATTGTTTATATAAGTTTATAAGAAAACAGTGTTTTATCCAGTGTGCAATTCGAGAAGCTGCACTCTTCTTCAAAGACCGAGTTGGTTTCTCCGGCGTTTTAAATTGTTCCACCGGAAGAGAAAATTTGGATAAAACACTGACAAAAAAATAGCCACTCACCAGCAGCAGCCAATTTAGCAGCTCGTTTTGAAACTTGTCGACAAATATGACGAACAATAGCACAATCATCATATGTAGGATTTCGAATACCAATATCTTCAAGTACTCGACGTGTATTTGAAAACTGAATACCTTAAAAAAAAAAATTCTCAAAGAAATCTCAAAAACAAATAAAAATAAAAAAAAGTTTTGACTTACCTTCATCGGTTTCAACTGTGGAAACAAATTTTGTATAAAAACCACCACGATTATAAAGTGGTGTTTTATAATCTCCATATG